GGTTTTCACTTGATAAAGTTTACTTGCACTACTGAGTAGATTGAACAAGCCTCATTGACCAAGCCTCTAGAGATTCATTCTGAAACCTTGAGGAGAAAAATGACTCCCCGGATAACTGAAGAAGTAGTAAATAAAATACCTGTCTTTAAAAAGGGAAAGAACAAAGACCTAGAGACAAGTCAACATAACTGAGAAAAAATATGGGAAAAATAATTTTTAAATGTGTGTTTTTAAAAACCTAAGAAATTATCAACCAAGAAGAATAATCAAAGAATTAATCAAAGATAAATAATACCAAATCAACCTAATTTACAACTGTTATGAGATTAAAATCTTCATGTATAGGAGGGAAGCAGTAGGTATGATAAATTTGAGAAAGATTTTAGAAACTAATGTCGCTAATGATATTCTCTTAACCAAGACCAGCAGAATCTAAGTGAAAGTCTTACAGTATGGAAAGCCATACTCAGGAATTAGCAGTTTTTCACTGCCAGTCTGCACAGAGGCATCAAGTTCCACAGGAGTCTCTTCAAGGTATCTCCTAATCAAAAATTCATTAACGACTTGAATGAAGGAATTGAAAATATGGTTGTAAAAGTTGCAGGCAATATGAGATTTGGAATAGTCGCAAGTATTTTGGAGGACTGAATAAGAACTCAAAACAACATTGACAATTTAGAGAAATTAAAAGTAAACAAGAGGCCACTTAACTGGGACATGTGTGAAGTATGACATTTAGTTAGGAGTAATCAAATTCACAACTATAGAAGGATGATTGCTTACATTTCTTCCATCTATCCAAGGGTGGTGGATGACATATCAAACATGAATCACTATTATCATATTACTGTAAAAAAAAAAGAAAGTATGCGTAAATGTATGAGTCTGCATATGTCCTTTGCAGGAAATACAAAATGTTCCTTCATTTATCAACACTGGTAAGATTTCAATAAGAGTATTATTGCCATGTTGTGGGCATAAGCAACAGGAGCGCTCAGAGGTCTAGAAAATCTGAAAGCTTTAGGGAAGGCATTGAAAAACTGGGCTTGTTTAGAAAGCAAAAATTGGTAGGTGGGTAAGTAGCTGTGATAATAATTCCTAAATACGTAAAAGATTTCTGCAAAGGACAAAAATAATCTCTTTTTCATTTTAGTTTACAGTTTAAACAAGAATTAATGGCCTCGAATTGCAACAAGGCCATTTAAATTGGATAACAGGTAAACTTTCTAATGTAGATCATGGAACAGGTTGCCTGGGTGGTCATAAAATCTCGTTTGTCGAAGGTGTTTGAGAACAATAATCCATCAAGAACAGCTTTCCTAGCTAAGGCCAGTGGAGTACCCACAGTGGTCTGGCATCCTTTCAGCCGTATTGTCTGTGAGTACACATAGGCTCTTACCACCAACCCTGCAGCACTTCAATAATATGAAATTTTACAGAGTTGATCTTCGAACCCCGTGGAAATTATATGTTTTTATTGCAGCATTATAGAAGTCCAGTCACGGCCCATGAGTCTACTACATAAACCTTAAGGAAAGTACAAAATTTTCTGTGCCCTCAAAGAAGTCATTTTCATTAGATGGGGAAAACACTACAGTTTTAAGCTTCATACTGTATGTTACATCAAAGGCATTTGATTTAAATCCAGTCTATTTCAAAGTTCTGAAAAGTCCTTCTGCTTGTAGATCCATGTCAGATGAGCTGGTGCTCTCATGCTGACCTTTGAAATTTGTGTCTACAACACTGACACTTGCGAAAAGATTCCTATTACCTTCAGTGGATTTCTGTCAAACTCACAAGAGAATCTCCTTCTGAGAAAATCTGTAAATAATACTGAATAACTTGCAATCTAGACAAAAGCTAGTTCTGTGCCTGTAACTAGTATGTAACTCCAGTCAAGTCTCTGGGGTGTAGAGAGAGTAGCAGGGTAGAAAAATACTAAATTAGGTCCTTACTACACAAAGGGTAATAAATCAGGGGTACTAAATTTATTTGAAAGAAATACAGCCATTGAAAGGTCCCCTTCTCTCTCCAAAGTACTGCAGAGGTTAGTATATGCAAAATTTTCATGGAAGATTGTACATTTTTCAACTTCCAAATACACAAAAGACACTCAGATTATAAATCCAGGATCACTGGTGATGAGATCAAACTGAGAATAGTTCCGAAGAATTCAGCTCCAGTTAAATAGTGTAACTAGGTATAATCAGGATAGTTACTGTGGATATAAAGTAACTGTCATAACATTTCTCCTCATGACCTCCTTTCAGCTGCGCCACTGGGGATGTAATGGAGTATGAGACTGCAAACAAACTTTACCAGAAAAAATTACTATATTTTCATGAATTACGTGAATGCTTCAGTTACTTTAACTTAGGTATGGTACTGAAGAGCAGTGTATCTCCATCATTCAGGTGCAAAATATTTAAAATAGGTTAATTCAGTCCAAGTTTCTTATTTAAGTAGTTCTCCTTCAGCTGCAAGTGTAATAATCAGTTGAAATAGTCTAATATATTGTTAACATTACAAGAATAATATGACAAAATATAATTCAGTTTAATCCATTTCAACATAAAAATTGATAATGGCACATCTTACGCCAGTATCATCTTTTCTTTTTGTTACTGCTGCTGTTGTTAGAAATGGACGCAGCCTAGTTTTATTGGTGCCACAGTTTGGGTTACAGCAATGTATTTCTGTAGAAAGAACTAATTAAATTCTTCTCATCACTTTTTGGCATGGAAAATACAAAAAAAATATGTCACTGGTATAAAAAGAAATGGGCATTGTAGCAGTGCTCACACCAAATTCTTACCCTCTAATAACTTGTCATCCATGTAACTTAAGGCACTCAACTGTGTTTGATTGTGAGCACAAATACTTTAGGAGATGTCCCATGGGACAGAAATCATAAAGACCACTGCTGTGTATTATTGCTCGCACAGAAAATCAAGAAAGCAGCTTTGGCTTTTCTTTGCTGTGAAAATGAGCAGCATTTTAAGAGTAATACAAGCGTAATAGGCCTTATCTGGTATGGATGCAATGATCTGCTTGTATCAATGGCATGATGCTAGTAATAATGAACTGACTATCAAGACCTAATTAAGGAGCCCTCGCAACTTTTCTCAAGATTAGACAGTATAATTGTCTTCATCTTATGTACGGAAGATGATACATGGCTCCTTTGCAACAGCAGACAAGTTAGGCATAAAGGTAGGTCATGGGTCTTAACTGCCTCTTCCCTCATGTTTTCTGGGTCTTCCTAGATTGCAGAGTTCGCCTACGTTACAGCTCCTCTTATTTCCACCTAAGCACCTTGTGCTGACTATATACATTCTCTATGTATATAGTACATATAACTAACTAAAGGAATGGTAATGGTGTTTAGAGTTTTCATTTAAATAACTGCACATATCTTTTCTGCTTGGCAGTAGTTAGGCAGCTCCAGATACCAGAGGGGCCTTTGCTGCTGCTGAGCTGGATACTGCTGATGACAGAGTCAGCTGATTTTGGGAACTGTTGGTTTTACTCCCTGCTGGGTAGCAGATATGCAATGCCGTATATAACTGTGCAGTCATTCTGTTCAGGTCTGGGTTTCAAGCCTGAGAGGTGATTATTGCAGTATTGTTCTCGCGTGGCTCTAAGAAGCTCAGTGGTTATTCATATGTTTCACAGCATAGCTGAAGATTTCTTGGTTTATATGTGCAACTCCACCCTTACCACTGCTGATTTTTCATGCTGCAATTAAGAATATTACCATAAAAATGTTACAGCAGAAGGCTTTATCAAGATTTTTTTTAAATTAATACAAGATTGTGTCTATCAAAATTTCTATGTGCATTTTTATATCACTATCTAAACAAAATGATCCTCCTACTTTCAGCTGTTATAGGTTTGGACAAGAAACCTTTTTTTTAGGACATAGGGATTTTCCAGTACTACCCTGCTCAGACAAAAAGCATAGAACATATTTAGAAGGAAATTGTCGCACATTCTTTTTTTTAAGTGGGTAGCAACTTATCAATGTTTTTTCAACTGACCTATTCGTCACATTGTTTGTTGTCTTGGTCTAGGATGTTCTTTACAATTTCTCAACACTTCTGTCCCTCATGTAATTTCCCCATTGGCAGATCCTTAGTGACTACAGCGTTACATGGGCTATTGGTCTGACTACTTTAATATCTGCTTTAATATCAGGAGAAATGTTGGAGGCAGGCATGCTACCTGGATAAACCATTTAGAAGTTATTTTGTTTGAGCCATATTTATCCTGTATTAAGACACAATGCCCAAACAACATAACCATCCACTTGGTCTAGTAATAGCAGAAAAGAGATCTGTAAAGTCACTATGTAAGTTGTAGTAGCTTCTACTACACCCAAATCAGTATACTTTTGGGCAGAAAACATAGAGATGAAACGTTCTGTCTCCCATTATTGGCCCCTTGAGCCACCCAGTATCACAGAAAGAGTTTGTTTTAAAGAAAAAAAAATCATATTTATTATAAACAGAGCAAACCATTTCAATAGCTGAAAGACAAAGATAATGTGGCTGTTAGGGTTAGTCTTAACTATATCCTAAAATGTCAACATACTTGCCAAAATGAATTTATCAGCTCAGTGCAGCCAAGAGATTTAGTTTATCTAGATGTCCTACAAGGAATAAATAGTTTACCGCTGGTTTTGAAGACTGGGGCAAATCTAAAGTTCTATTGACATATGCTATAGATTTAATGTAATGCTGTGTTTCAGATGTCTTTTCTGATAAATTTTAGTAAAATCTGTGCTAAGAAGAATGGAGCTGCTTCAGTATTTATGGTGGTTAAAATGCAAGGTTAGCAAAGGAAACAAGTTAATTGAAACAATGTTGGTGTATATCCTTGCAATGGTTTAGAGTTGGTTCCAAATATGAGATGTTTAGTGTTTTACAGGTTCATTGTCTTTTCTGTACTGAAAAAATCCTCTAATGAAGTAATTAAATAGCTTGATTTTTATTTTTTAGGCATATTGGAGATAACATCTGTAGAAATTGGAGTTGTGGCAGTTAAGTCCGTTAAGAGCAACTATTATTTAGCCATGAACAAGAAAGGAAAAGTCTACGGTTCTGTAAGTATTTTTTTTACCTTTCAAATGGATTGCAGTAGTCAGCTTAGTTCCCTCACCTACTGAAAACCCCACTTGCCTTTGCATTACTACTAATTAGAGCTGAAATGAGCTGTTCATCAAATTTTCATCCTCTAGTAAACCATCAGCCCTGCTTCACCACAAGCTGCCTGTTATTTGTTAAGCTCATATCATGCCAAAGCAGCTGCTGGGATTTATCATACTTACTGTTTCAGTCAAGTTTCATATTAAGTAATGGCAAATGGAGAGGGTCCTACAAAATGTAAGCTATATGGCTCTTTTTCCCCTGTTTTTCTGCAGTACAGTCACAGTTAGCAGTAATTTGAGGGGGGGCATAAAGTGTACCCAAAATCTTGGAAATGTTAACTGATAGAGCGGACACACCAAATTACGTAACTATGACTTACAAGAAGATTTATACAGTAGCCAGCTTTAAATTGGCTGTATTAATTAATACACAAGATTATGGGAGTACAGAGAGGTATAGAGGTTTATATCAGCAGATAGATAAGCTTTGACTGAGAGGAATTTGGGTATAATTTGAAATTTGTGCATGTGTACTCTGTATTAGTGTAAGTTTGGGGTTACTGGTACTTTCGGGGGAGGAGGGATGGGGAGGACAACAAACCAGCAACCCAACAAAACGAATTAACTATCCAAATATTTTTAATAGCAAGCAATATGATCTATAAATCTGAGTACTAAACTCAAGTGTACCATCACACATCCATATGATTACACAAACACCAGATTGTTCTAGTGTTAAATCTGGTTTGGTTTGTAATTTTGCAACTTTTTGCCAGTTTCAGTGAGTTTGAGCCTACATAAACATAACCTTATCAAAGTCATTTGCAAAGGTTATGAGCCATTAGTCTTCAGATTGCTTAGTACTCAGAACATCCACAGGCTTTAAACAGAACAGGTCACAGATAGGTACTGGGACTGGGTTTATCCTCAGGCAATGTAGCTAAGCCTCCTACCTCTGCTGCAGATAATGAAGTTACGAGAGTGTCAACTAAGACTCAAGGGGCAAGAAGTCATTTGGCACTCCTTTTTAAGGAAGCATTTCTATGGAGTGGGTTTAGTTCATACGAATTATGTAAACTCTCCTCCCTCATCTGCACCGTGGGTAATCACTCCTGGTTCAAAAAGTTTCTTCTGACTTTCTAAACCCTGGGCAGTGTCAAATAATCACATTAATTAAAGACTAGAACAGAGAAATGTTTCTGAAACTTGTGTAAATTTGGATTTTAATTTCTAGAATTACACTAGTCAGAAACACAGGATAATTAGTGCTCAGTCGTGCACTGTTGGGAGGTGTAAGGGTGTACTGAGTTCCTGACAAAGTTAGAATTTGTCAGTTAAGCTAAGCTCGTTGATCATGGGTGTGTATGCTTCTGCACATACATGAAGGTGTTAGTGTAAATCACCATCTTAATTCACACATCTCAGGTTGCAGCATTTAATTTAGTCAATTTTGATGGTCTTTCCCAAAGCCTGAGATAAGTTTTGCTACCCAGGTTGTTAGCCGCAGCTGGTGTGGTTAGACTCCATCCCAACCCCTACATACACACAAAAGAAGTCAAAACAGCTTTCATGTACCATAGGTGGAAACTGCTGCCATAAGATTTGGTAATTCATAGTGTATTAGAAATAGTGTTGACAGGAGGATACGAATGTGGAAAGTCTTTTTTTTAATTCCAGCTGAGATAATTTTTCAATATTCACATCATAAAATCACGACATAATGACTTATCAAAACTGATTCCATAATACTTCAGAGATTTCAAGAATTCTTCTGTTATTATTTTCCCCATCCTCCCAAGACTTGCAGTTAGACTCATATTACTGCAGTGTGGCAGCTTGCAGATGGATATGAAAAACAGAACCAATAAAAATTGTAAAAACACTCTTAAGCATGTGCACAATAGACATTGGTGCAGGGTTATGCTGAAATTTGTTTTAAATGAGCAAAGTGGTCTTGGGCTAACACTCAGACCCCTGGCAATAAGATTTCTTAACCACTTCACAATATCATCTCTTCTCTCTGTATTATGTAAGACTAGAGATAAAAGTTTAGATTCGAGTACAATTCTGCATCAGAGAAAACAAGTAAGACTGTTTCTGTGTTTATCAGATACCTTTCTATTTGTCTGACTTTGTTTAGAGTGAAGGAGTAAAAGACTATTTGGTTTCTTTAACAAAATAAGCTGCAGGCAGATAGGAAAAGTTACTGCAGTTTAGAACGGTGATGGATTGTCACCTGCCTTCTCAATACCTTGACGCCACAGGTGGCATATTAAAGCAAATAAATATTAAATTATCTATATGTAGCTTTGTGAATACAGGCAATATTGAGGGTCATTTTGTAGAGAGTCTTCTCTCAATAGTGTCTTCTCCAACAGTCAGTGTTCCACTAACTACTTGTCCCAAAGCCAAAGAGCATTTTGGGAGCCAAACTGAGTTTGAATATGCACAATTCTGTTAGGAAAACATATGCATGTGTTCTGTGGTCTTAGCAGCAACTAAGTGAGACGTTAATTGTAGACCCAAAAATTCTTAATGTATCAAAGTAGTGAACATATCTAGTTTAAAAATTTAATTTAAATTAATAGGAATGGAAAATATGTATTTTTAATATCCTTATGTGCTTTTTTGTTAATGTGCATACTTTCTATATCTTTACTAGCTGAATATCTAAGGATTTTGATCGTTATAAAAGATAAAACATCCCTGAAATTATTATCTGTACTATGAAAATTATTTTATTATTCAGACTTATCTCTTGTCTTCTTCATAGACATGTCAAAAATACCTCATGTAGTGAGTATATCATACTCTGAGATTCTGACATACTTCTCTCTAAGCTGTGAAATAACATCTTCTGAAATGCAGAAATAACAAAATGCTGAATTTTGGTTGTCCTTTAAGTACGTTGTAAAAGTCCCACTTTCAAAAGCCTTCTAAATGGAGTAGAAGTAACTTGATAAAGCTGGGGCTTTTTATATGTAGGAATTACTTATTTGTGACAACAAAGCATTCTTGTCTTCGTTATAGAGAAGCAGATCTGCACAGAAGTGCATTGAACATTATAGAAAAATCTTTCAAACAACATTCTCCTTTAAAAATAAAAAGCCTTAATCCCTCACACCATACACAAAATTGCTTTCAAGTTTATTTAGTCAGTAAGACACAGCATCGTACATGATTCTTTCTCAGGCTAAGCCCCTCTTCAGGTCAGCAAAGTAAACAGGCCTCAGATCCATTGCAACAGCAGCATAACAGTGATTTGCACCCATCCAAAATAGCCTTATTTCATGGCCAGTGCGGTGCCAAGAAGAAGACCTATGCCATGCATAAATAAGAAGTAGGCCTAGGTCACACATACTTGTTTAACGTATGGTATCTACAATCTGGTTCAAGATATTTAAGGGTTGTATTTGTTAGAACTGAAATACGATGAATAATTCCGAGATTACTACCTCATACTTTGATTTTATGACTGAGAATTTGATTTCATATGTTGCTATATTCCAACACAGAGAAGTTTAATTTTAGCTGTGAGTGAATTATATAATTTCACTGCTATAATTATGTTCTGAATAATTGGTTATTTCTTTTGTTGGTTTCACTTTTTGCAGTCTAGCTGAAGTTGCTTTAAATCCCGTGGACACAGTGACACCTTTCTTTAAATATACTGTAGAATCCTTAAAGAGTGTCATATACAGAAACTGAAATCTTCCAAAACATTTTTAGAAACTATTTACCTTCAGTATGCTGCAACTCTGAAAGACTATACTCATCCTCATTTTGTGTATTTGTTTTCTTCTTTTAACAGAAGGAATTTAACAGTGATTGCAAATTGAAGGAACGAATAGAAGAAAATGGATATAACACATATGCATCCTTAAATTGGAAGCACAATGGAAGGCAAATGTTCGTGGCCCTGAATGGAAGGGGGGCCACAAAGAGAGGGCAGAAAACAAGAAGGAAAAACACTTCAGCTCACTTTCTTCCGATGGTTGTAATGTCATAGGTGAAGGAACTATATTATTGATGCAGTTGAACCAAAGGCTCTTATGTCAAGAATATTTGGTAATCCTCTTGAAAAGTAAATGCAAAAAAATAGTGCAGACATCTGCTTGTTTGAAGAGAGAGCAGGGGAAGCCTTTGAAAGTTTTGTACTCATTGCTGGCACATGAAATACTTTTATTTAGTTCAGTGTCATATCTTATAATCAAGATACAAGCTGGATCAAGTGGGATGGAAGTTATTGCCAGTGTGAACTTTTTTTTTTTTTTTTTTTATTTCTGCAACTGAATTTAACAGACGTGAGAGTCTGTTGAATGATCTTCATTGGGGATGCTATTTATGAAATACTAACTCATATCAAAGACTTTAATTGCTCGTTCAAGCCTAATGATCCAATGAACAGTTAGACACACAAGCATTTATTGGAAGCACTTGGGTCACATGCACAAATAATGTCATTTCTGAGGAAGCCTTGTGGAAGAATGGATAGGATTAAGGAATATAAGCAAAGTAGTGTCAAACTGTTCTAACAAAACGAATAGTATGGTTTGCTTGTATGTTCTAACTTCATTTCTTTTTATTTCTCTCTAAGTTATTTATTTAATAGGATGTTAAATATCTTTTTGATTTGAAATGTTTTCCTCATTTCTTCTTTGTTATTTTCCCTTTTTCTCAGTACTTCACACAGAGTTTGACAGGTTAAAATGTCAACACCTCAGAAGTACTCTGAGACTAGGTATTAGACAAGGCTTTAAAGGCAGAATTTAATGTCTATAATCCATTTTTTTCCTAAACTGTCTTGCACTTAAGCAAAAAGACCAAACAAGCAGTGCTTGGATTTATGGTATTGGGTGTCTTTATGTTGGAGAAATTTTTTGCTTATAAGCACTGAAGAACAAACTTCAAGACATACTTTGTTCAAAGGGTCTTTCTGCTATTTTGAAACTGAGAGAAGGGGCCACATCTGTACTTGGGTGTCACTGCATCTGTGTGTATATTCATCTGACTTTGATTTCAGTTTGGAAGTAAGAACTAATGCATTGCAATCAGTGTGATATTCTGCAGTAAGCATTGGGCTCAAACCTAGATCTGGACAGCCCTGTTAAAGTCATAGAGATTGCAAATGTTAAAATTAAACAATGTGTGATTCCCAAGTGTAAAATCTGGCCTCTGAAAGGTATGTAAGAAGGCAACACAGTCCTGCACTCCTTATTCAGTTAATGCACCCATTCAGCATATTTGCCCGTGTTAACAGCTTGTAGAATCACAGGTATATAGTGGGAGCAATACCTAAGTAAGGACTGAGGGACAGGAGATCCAAAGTCATGCTCATACATTTATCAGAGATTATTACTCACATGTGTATTCTATATGAGAGCCAACCATAAAGCTGTGCTGGCATCCAGCTTTAGCATGCCTTTCATATCCATCACAGTAACTGAAGGCTCAAAACACATAATATCCAGCACATTTTTATAAAGTGTTACTAGTCCCATGGCTTAACTTGGGCAACTGCAGTATAAAAAAGTTAAGCATAATATGAAGTCTCTTCAATTAAAGGTACATAAGGTTTGTTTTATGTTTTGCTTTACTCTGTAATTTTAGAGAGCTCTGGATAGCTCACCAATGTAACCATATTGAGATTCATTTTGTTAGAGCAGATAAATAGAAAACAGTACATCAAAAAATTTAGTACCACTGTCTTCACATTGTATTCCAATAAATAAATAAATAAGCCTTTGCAGTGTCTTTAGTAAGAAACAAAAGTAGTATAATATTGTTTTGTTCTAAATACTTTAAGTGATAACTATGAGATTATATTGATGCTGCAGTTTTATCTTCAATATTTCTTGTTGTGAAAAAGTTGGGTTTATTTTTATTGTTTGGAAACTGTATTTTGGTACAAAGGAGAGCCTTGCTTAATGTGTCTTTTTGAGAATGTTTAACCTCTATAAAGGCTGGTGTTGTTGGAATCTTCTATAACTTATTTAAGTCAATGTTTAACCAGCACTTCAATCTTAATCTGTTATTTAAATATTAGCTGTTTTTTTTTAAAAAAGGCAAAAAAATAATAGCTTTCCAGTAAAATACAAAATGGCCAGATTGTATTTCCTGTTCTTAAATAAAGTCAACCGTTTTAACACCAGGAATTCATGGAGAGGCAACATTTAAGCTCATAGCTGACATTGTATTTCATGGTACTTTATCTCCAGCTTGCTTTTTCACAAATGAGATGTTTTTAGAAAAGGAAATGAGAATTTCAGGTTCTAGATGTAATTCCAGGTCATAACAAAACTTAACTACAATGATAAAAGCAAGTTTCTGTTGTTTAAAATTTGTAATCAATAATTAAAACCAACAAGACCTAATGGACCACCCACAGAGAGTATTCAGCATGAGCTCGGACAAATGCAGTTTTGGATGACCACTTAAAGAACATTCAGGGTACAAATTAAATTCTCTTTTGACAGAATTACCTAAATGACTTGGTCAGGGGAGGGATTATGCATAAATATTACCACAGTACTCAAAATACCATGCTGCTCAGATGCCAAAATTGGGAAGCATTACTTTTCCAAAGTGAGTCAAGAGCCATTTGTGACATGTGTAGTGGTTTCTGAAAATTAACCAAAATAAAAAAACCTTGAAGGAATCAGTGATTCCTGTGTGTTTGGTGTACTGTAATACCCACTGTTGTGGGAGCAAACTGCAGGCGCTCTGTCTAGAGTATCACAGATACTCAACCATAATCTCTGGTTTCTGTCACCCTTAGTGTAACAGACTCCTGTGGTAAAGGAAAATGTAAGGGGATCAAAAAATGAAAAGGAAAGCAAATCACTCAGCAACAATGTATAGTATGTTATATTTAAATAAAAATAATAAAATGTGGAGAATAGAGAATGAGCGTTTTGTCCTTATTTGGTTTAACAACTTGAAATGATACTGCACAATAAAAATAAAAAGGGAAAAGATCCATTCTACTGCAGGGTGTGGTTTGGTTCTGTATAGCCCCAAAACAAAAGTCACTTAAACATTTGTAAGTTTCTGTAATTTTTTTGCATGTGTGAGTCAGCTGTCTCCACACTAATAACAACCAGATACTTTAGATTCTTCCTGTAAATATTCAAATCCACCTAGTTTATACAGTACAAAAAGCAATGAATTTAAAGCAAGCACGTTTGATGAAAGAATGAAGGGGTTTAGGAAGAAGAACATGTACTCACATTTTTAAAATAAACTTTAGATATGGAATTCAAGACACTTCAGGTTATAAAGCTCACTAAAGATTAGTAAGCTTTAGCAAGGTAAGAATCCCAGTGAATGAGCACAACTTTGTAATTTATGCCCCTGCTGATCTACTCACACAACCATAACTGCTTCAAAGAATGATCTTGAAATTAGTACATGAAGACAGCTGCTGTTTTGAAGTATCAAGTATCATTATTTACTCTATTAAGTTAGATTGTGGGGCAGAATTAATCCACTTAATTTCCTGTTTAATTGGAGAACGTACAACACAAACACATTTTCTGCTGCAGCTAGTCAATCTGTGATTACTGACAGTATTTTTCAGAAAAAGCTTCATTGACTGAAACACCTGCAAAAAGAAGTTATTTCGCATTACCTTATAAGCAAGAAATAGAATATGGAAAATTCATTGGTTTTGGACCTAGGAGATTATGATTTGTAGTTATGCTTACCTTCTCAAAATATTTGTACCTCATGTTTAACTGTATGGGAGTTTCCTCAGAAAGAATTTTGAGATTTTCTAATGAAGCATGGTGAATCTCAGATAATTGATTGATGTTTTTTCACTCAGTAATCCCAGAAAAAAAAAAAAAAAAGTAGTTTTGTCCACACCAACAATGTAAAGAAGATATGTTTGCTCCTGTGAAAGACAAAATAAAGGAACCATGACTAAGCCTCAAGTAATTGATAAGGGAGCACTGATTTCTAAGTTACTGCACTGTAAATGAGAATTTGCACTCCTGAAATTCCTCACCAGGACCTTTGGTGGTGCCATTGTGTACTATTTCATTAATGCAAAATACTAACTGCTGCAACTGAATAAATGAATATGCTGGTGGTGGCATCAGAAATACATGTCCTGTTAGACCATTGACAAAATATGAGGCTATGAGAATCACAATATCTGAAAAAAAAAAACACAGAAAGTACCCTGCTGTATATAGTTCTGTGTAAAATATTTAGGGGCCCCATAGTACATAGATAATGTACCACAATGGAAAAAACAGGGTTTATATTTACATCAAAGCTCAGACTCTATACCTGTCTTGTGATAATGTAGTTGTCCTGGGTTTGGCCAGGACAGGGTTAATTTTCACCGGACTCCAGGAAGGGGCACAGCCGGGGGGTGGGGGCTGAACCCACCTGGCCAAACAGAGCCCGGTATTCCATACCATGTGACGTCACGCTGGGTTCCGGTGGGGGGGGAGCGGCGCGGCGGGAACGCACTCGCGGCTTGGGGCGGGCGCAGCGCCGGTCCGGTTTCGGGAGAGCGGCTGTTGTACGGTTCGTGGTTGTGTTTTCTCCTTATTTGTATCGTTGTTGTTCCTGTTTTC